AATACAGCAGCTCTACCTGACCATCACTGCTCTTCCAGTTTTCGTTTCTTTGACCGTCTCATTTCACGGGACTGAAATTCAGGTCTTTCAAAAAGCAAGAGAAATAAATTACGATAAACTAAATCATCACTGACCGCTTCGTCCTCGATCACATCATTTCTCATCATCGTAGGAGTCAACGGAGCTCCAGATGATGTTATACTTGGAGGAGGTGGTTGTTGGGCGTGTTTCAATGCTGCTGGAGACGTTACCGACGAGTAAGAGAACAGCCTATCTGCTTCTCGATCAGTTTTTCGAGACAACGTCTTTTTCTCTAGTTTCACTCCTGATTTTGAAGGCGGCATAGCTAGCGCATAACGGTCCCATCCTAAAAAGTGGCCGATCAGGATTAGGAGTAAGCAATATGTACGCAAAGACATTGCTACATTCTCATACTTTGACGGTAGTGTTAGTCAGAAGTCTTCTCACCATTCAAAACATAAAAGGCAGTTCAGACTACAGAATCCTTGTCGTTTCTGGCACAATGAGGGAAGAGAAGATGGCACTGAATAGGGCAGCAGTGTATTCATGGGAGGCTGGGCTTTACGTGTGAGAATTTAGAATCTCGTCATTCCACCCACTTTTCCACTACATGTGGCTCACCCAATTTGGAAGATATTTAGGGATAATAAAGAAGGGCAAAGTAATTTGACCCAGGTGGAACCATGGGCCGGATCTAATCCTCCCCAGAGGGTTGGGAGACGAGAATTCCTTCAAACTTTCTCTGTCTTTTCAGCTTGGATTGTCCTGATAGAGGGCCTACATTTGACAATGAAGCAACTGTATTGTTAAAAAAACAAATAATTTTAAGTGGGTTTTGTCCCCCAACCCCATGGGGGAGGAGTGAATTCGGCCCCATGAATGTAGCAAAAAACTCATTTTGTACCTTTTATGACGTTTCCATATTCAGCCGTCTCTTCCAAATACGATCCTTCAAAATTGTAGATTTGATTCTCAAGTGCCTCCAATGTCTCCTGAATAGCTACTTTTATTTCCGCCTTTTTGCGTATTCTTGGGTAAGAACATGAGAACTGCAATGACGTGGTAGTAGCGGCGTCGTGCGCGCCTGCTATATCACAAAAATACACAGTATGAGCTCCGCGACGAAACAACTAGCAAAGACTTGCTGCGCACGTGCCCTTCACAAAGCACGTCGCCGTGATCATGTAAGGTTAAGCAAAAGTAAATAAATGAACTCACAGCGATTTCAGCACGTTTTTTGATCAATTCATTTAACTCTCTCTTCAAATCGTGCTGGTCCTTTGACATCTGAATTACTCACACCACCTGGTTAAAATTAGCAATCCCTTACTAACCTTCAGAAGGTATTTGCAACAACAGAGAAACGACACAGGATAGCTTCCTTTAACTGTAAGCTATGATATGATGAGAACAACTTTATCGCACAATGAACACGTATAGGCAATAGTTGCATGTACGCGTATACTCGTATATTGAAAAAGAAACCGAGCTATGGAAACAAAAATTTCAATGAAGCGTCAAAACTGAGAGAAAAGGATCTAGTGTTAAACATATAAGCTGACTCAGTGGATAAAAAGAAAACACAGTTTTTCAATAATGACATCCAGACAAAAATCGACGCAGAAGATAAAGACTGTTATATTCTTCAACATGAAATCCTTGCGGTTCACGCGGGTTGCATGACTGATGACTTGTGTATGACAATGACTTCGATCATCTCGAGAAAACACACAAGATATGAAAACGGGAAAACCATTGCAAACCATGGAAGCGACTTAGGAGACATGAAAAAAGTCAGCATCACCTATCAGCAGTACTTATACCTAATCGTAAGCTACTCGAACAACAGCAGGAAGAAAAGACTGAGCATGTACCGTACCGAGATTGAAGGACATCGGAACACTCCTGCCTTACTCCTTGTTACGCGTTGTGATTGCTACGAGCACCTTGTCGATCTGATCGATCCATCCATTCATGGCAGAAATTGACAGTGATGAATCCAACCTTTGTTCGCCACAAGGCTTCACATACAATATGTTGTCAATCTCATCTATACGTGCAGGAAGATCTGAAATAATGTAATTACTCTATTTTGCGCAACTGTGGCATCTTTGTAAAATGAATAAATATTGCATATTAGTACTATTGAAGGCGAAGCTAACAATTAGAAGATAGCTTATTAGAAAGTGGTGGGATGAAGAAAACTATGAGAAACGGTACAGAACCCGAGAGTTTGGACCCTACCTTACCAGCTGATTTACGCATTGATGAAACTCTCATCTGTGCTGCCTTCTTCACCGCTAAAGCTCTTTCTGCTAAACGGCTAGAGACATGAGAAGAGTGGCTAGACAGTGCCGCCGCGTGGGCATGCCGCAGCGATAACGGCGCGAGGACGGCCATGCTTGGTCGCCGGGGACATATCCTTCGCTGCGAATTGCGTGTTGATCCGCTCCCTTAGGGGGCCTGCCTGTCTTTCTACAGATGAGTTTCTTTCTCTTCGACCTTACCGTAGAATCCTCATCTGACACGTTGGCGGCAATGCGACTCAGAACGTGCTTATCTCAAACCCTTGCCGATCGCTTCTAAATCAAGGGTAAATCTTATCGCTTGACCCAGGAAGATTTTGGAGCAAACCGAACAAAAAAAAAAACCTGAATTTTCCACTCCCGCTCCGTAAATAGGGTCGGGGTTCAAATCTCCTCACGTGGAAGGGGGTAACAATACTATAGCTAACTGAAAGCAGAAAACCACCCAATTTAGAGAATCACTTCCAAATACCCCTTGACTCAAGTATCAGATTACGTAAGTACTATGATGCTTTCCTGTTTCTATGGTAATAATTTTAGAACCAAAAAGTGACTTCTATAATGCGCTCCCCCCCCCCCCCCCAGTCGAAAAGAGGACAAGAAACTATTTCGAGATGTGCATTGTAATGAATCAAAAAGAAAAGATTCCGAGCGCAATTTTTTGGGATTTTTTAATAGGTCATCTCACTCTTTTCACCATCATAATGACGAAACACCACATATGCATAAAGAAAGGCAGCAGGAAAGAGAAATGGTCAGCAGTAACAGAAACACATGAGGGAGAAGTGGGAAACGCACTTAAAGTCTACCTTGTGAGGCGTGCCAATCTCTCCCCTCCCCTTTATTGACAGTCTACGCCGAAGTTATCGTGAACAATATAATTTTGCTCACACATCGAAAGCAGCGCTTTTTTTCGTAAAGGATTTGCACGTTTTATATAGAACTAGCAAAAAAGACGCTACCGATTATCGGTTGAAATCCATAAGTAAGCCGTAACCTTAACAAAAATCTAACACCGCACCGCACGATTAACCCCAGACCTGAAAAGTTATGGAGAGGATGGAAGTTGGGGATGCTGGCATCTCCTTTGCTACCACTCTCACGTCACCACCGTGAGATTTTAGCGAAAATTTGTATTCTACCTTTTCAATCCTAACTCTTTAATTCATTTTTTTCTTTTCTTTAAATTTAAATCCCAACTCTACCAATGACTGAGAGAAAAAGGTATCCTGCTTACAGTACATAAGAGACAATCATCAACAGATTTCAAGAAAAGAGGGAAGCAAGATAACAGGAAATAAGTGAAAAAAGAATCATGTTACACCGTGCGGAAAGCTTACTTTCATCTAGTATAGTATCCACAAGTAACCGTTTGACTTCCGCGACTGAAACACGCAACTGCTGCGAGAGATACTGCAGCCTGACTCTCGTATACGGTTTAATCAACCGCAGTAACACCTGCAAAACATCCTCTATTTACAGTAGAACTCAGAAAAGCTGCCACCTACTAACCTGAGTTCTGATATTAGTCAAGAGTTCCTCTATATGTTCACGTATGAAGGGGTCCTGCATGATGCTCTCGCGATTGTCTTCCAGTATTCGTTGGAATTCATCGATATCGTTCTCTTGGTACGCAGACACCATAGCCGTCATAGCGACGATTTCTTGTTCATTCTTGGAAAGAATAACCCGATAAAAAAGGGAAAAATGCTCTCAAAAGAAAGTCAGTATATCTTCCATTTTTCCACTATTACATATAGCTACCGATCGATGTGAATGTTTTTAAAACGTACTTTGAAAGGTTTGGCCTCTTGGCTATCGAACGGATTTATGTCGGATTTTATAAGCATGTTCGCCAGCACCAGATATTTCAAGCAAGTAATTCGCCGCGGTGATCCACTCTCGTCATAATTTTTGAACGCTTCGAAGAAATCCGTATGGGCACGGTCGAACTGTCCCTCTCGCAGATGCATTTTACCACCACATTCTGAAAAATACAGCATACAGATCGTATTTAATCAAAACCTTCTAAGAACCGAAAACTAGAAAGTCGAAACAATATCGCGAAATCCAACATTGAAATTATCAAAAATGAAGCGGTTCGCCAAAATGAGACCCGAATAGAAAAAAATGATCTCTACATTAACTATTCTTGGAAGAAGACCACTGACTATTCTTGGAAAAAGACCACGTTTATAGAACTTGCCTCGAATGACACCAAGAATAAGTGGATGAGGGATAGCAGACTTAGACTGAATAGCCTGTTGTGCTTGTTCATACAACTTTTTTAAAGCCTAAACATACGAAAACATTAGCAGGGAAGCTCATTCTTTGGAAAATTGAAGTAAAAGACTCCACCTTGTTGTTCTTTTGTTCTGTATACATCTGGATTTCTAACGCATAGATTTCCAGTAACTGTGTTCCCTTTTTCTGGTCTTCTTCGCCTAACTCTGTCTAAACAAAAAACAACGTCAAGGTGACCGAAAAGGGGTATGGCACAGATTAATAGTGTAGCTGTGAGTTGAGAGCATTGACTAATGAAACTACGGGAGCATTAACAAGGAAGGTCTTTCAGGGTGTGCCAAGCTTTTTTCAAAACGGTCTTTTGCATGATATAGAGGCACATGCGGGAACCACAGAACCATGGTTAATTTTTCCTGAACGGCCCTCTGAATACCAGAAAAGGGGGTCCCTAGTCACACCTTTTTCACCAGTTTTTCAATCAAAGTCTATTTGTAAGGGTTACTGACGTTCCTAATCATGAATTGGTACTAATTATTCATGCTAACTCCATTTTGCGCGAATTTGGAAACGTCAACTCGAAATGCAAAAATTTGTCACCACGAGGAATCGAACTAGGGACCCCTTTTCTGGTATTCAGAGGCCGTTCAGGAAAAATGAACCATGCTTCTGTGGTCCCCATATGTGCCCCAATGTCATGCAAGAAACCATTTTGAAAAAGCTTGGCACACCCTGAACGACCTCCCTTGTAGACAAATGTTTGCAGATCATCGATCAGAATAGAAGACGGTGAAAAGGGATTCGGGCACATTTAAGCAAAGTGACAAAAGAAAGCGGCCACTGCCAATGAGAACAGGAAGGCCAGCAGAGAATCACCAACAAAGTCCATTTGGAGCTAACGACGCTGGTGGACGACGGGTCCTATTCATTGAAATCTGAAGAACACCTGGATGCTATCGGGATAGGCAAAAAATGCTTTGTGGCAACTCGGGCCCTTCGAAAATTTCAGTTGCAAAAACACAAGTGATACAGAAGAAGCGTTACATGGTGACTAGTCATAATCAAACTGCTCAGGATAAGATGACCCTAACGGCGCAAAATACGATGTAGCCCGGTTCAAATACTGAGATAAAGGTAGAATCCTATACAAAACAACAGGAAAGGAAAAACCAACAATCAATAAAAAAGGACTTCGAAAAGAAAAAGAAAGAATGTAACGTGTCGAAAATAGTGCACGAATGACAACTCACTTTACATGAACTCTTCAGCTGTTTCAAAATCTTCTCCAACTTGTTAAATTCATGCATGTCAAAGTATAACTTTCCAAGTTTGGTATTCGTTTTGAACCATAGCCGTTCATTTTTGGCATCCTTAAGCGGAAAAACTATTTTTGAAAGAAAGCTCACGTCGTTGACGAGAGATACAAAGTAAGGAAGATTAAAAAGAGATGACAATGTATGTTTAAAAACCACAGCAAACCTTCAGAGCGTCCAGTGTTGTTTCATAGAACTTTTGTAATAAATCCATTCGTTTTGAAGTAGATATGTAGTCCAAAATGGCATTTATTGACTTCTCCGAATAATTTTTCGTCACAGCTGTTTTAATGTATTTCAACAATTTCTGATAGTATTCCAACATTGCTTCGAATTGATTCTAAACATCAACGTAAGATATAAACTCAGGCACATAAACTCTCAGAAACATTACACTTACGGTGTTGAAGGTGATTTTAACCATCTGTTTCAAAGCCTTGAATCCCCACTCGCCCATCTCCTGCTCTAGATTAAGCACCTAAAATGTAGTCTCTTACAGAAATTACTCGTGGTTATCCGTTTTCTATAAAAAGTTCACCTTCTCAAAATTCGCTATGGCTTCGTTGATCTTCCCTTCGCTTTTCAGACCTTTTGCAGTGTAGTACTGGTTTTCGAGATCAACATCGGGTTCGCTTCCGCTGTCATCCTCATATTCCTAGGAAACTTACGAAATAAAATTCAATTTCAACTAATAATATTCGTAATAAATATAAGCAATTTTCATTCACTCACAAATCCATAATCCTCGTCGTCGTCCATGATGTCGTCGCCCATAACAATCAAGTCAGGGCGCGCTGAAATGAAGATGAAATCGAATTATAAAGTAAAATGACAATGTTCAGTTAATGCCAATTGCGAATAAGAAAAGTAGACAATGAGAACAGAAGCAGAGGTCAGAAGCGAAGTGGAATTCCCTTCTTCGCAGCATCCGCTCGAGAAGCGGTTTCGCGTTTTACCTCACACTTTTCTTTCAGGTAGCATATCTTTCACGGCCAACGATCTACACCTAAATAACAGGGGACCCATCAAAACCGCTTTTATTATCTAATTTTAATCACTCAATATCAACAGTTGTCACCACTCTCTGGAGCCTTCCCAACGGAGGTTTTCCTTGAAAATTTCCTGCTATACTTTCCATATATTACAGAAGGCTTAAATGACCACAGAGTAAGTAAATAATCTAAATACAAAAAAGCAAAAGCGCAAGAAATCTTAAAGGACATGCACTGCTATTGGCATTGGCGCATGAAAAATGATTGGAGCACGAGGAGGCGAAGTTCATTGACATAACTGTTACTACCTATTGTTCTGCTTAATAATCGGAGATTGGACCTTAATATGATATAATTAGAATGAAAAAGTTAACGCTGCTGACAATTAGCTGCTACTTACCTTTCAGGACTCGTTTCACCGCTTGAAAATCAATCAGACCGAATATTTCATCTGTAATGTCTTGCAAATATGCTCGCAGTTCGAAGAAGTTGAACTATTGTGAGCAGTTAACGCATACAAATTGTCAAAGTGATGAAAAATACCGAAATAGTCATATTACAAGGTCTGTGGGAATTCTGAAACCGCCGCATGCAGCAGGAGGGCAAATAGCCGTTCCACCCGGGAATATCCCTGGCCGGGTGCAGCCTCTATAAATCGTCTACCCAGCGTTATGCTCCACCACGTACGATCCAGGAGAACGAAGGTTGGATATTCTTTTTTGCTGAGCTATTCAGGACCGAGTTTGAGCGCAGTTGTATTTTCTCTACCTTTCAGCAAAGAACTATGGCGCTTCTCTCGCTCTGCACGTCCCCTTAGCCTTTGGAAACATTATCTGGACCTCGTATCAACACAGATTATCCATAAGTCCCGTGTGTCGCTGATATTTGAGGTTTTTGTGCTCAACCCCTACGAAATTTTCCGCTTCCACACTGAGTTCTCGAACGGAAGAACCAT